CGACAGGCAGTGTAGAAGGGGAAGGTCTTGGGCACCGAGGGTCTTTGCGTTACACCGATAAGTCTACAGAGGGCGGGAATGCCCCCATGTGGCAAATCAGGAGGAAGCCATTACATGACGCCTGGCGGCTCACCCCGTCGGAGCTGAAGCTTTTCTTGAAACAAGGGATGCATGCAACCTCCCAAAACAATGGGGGCCGGGGTGGGGAGGGGCGAGGAAGAGGAGGAAGCTCGGAAGGGGGAAGGAGCTGGTGGGGAAGGCTGTTCAAGACCGACGGGGGAGGTCCTTCGTGCTGCACCCATCCTGATATTAACGCCATCGATGTGAGCGGCTCCACGCCGCTGATGAATTTCGCAGAGAAGGGAGCCGTACTTCAAGGTAGTTCGTAGTCCCTTTCCCTCTTTCCTCCCTCTTCCCCTCCCTCCCTCCTTCCCTCCTTCCCTCCTTCCACAATCTGGAAAGCTACCTTACGTTCTTCTTGTTCTCTCCTGCCCATTTGGTTATTTTATCGCCCCCTGGCGAAGGGCAATCAATGGGGATCCCCTGTGTTCTTCGCACCCGTACTCTGTCTGTATTCTGCGCCTCGCGCTGAGAAACCTGCATCCTTCCTGGGCGCTCATCTGCTTTCCCTATTTTTCACGGTTCTCAGTGTCTGTTTTCTCCGGTACACCGTCCCCCTATCTCTCATGCATGCAGTGCAAACTGCTCGATCATTCTTGCATCTTCACCCGCCCGGTCCCCAAGACCTTCTCATCCAAACTACCCGGACTTGAAGAATGTTTCAATCCTCACGTGCTCTCAAATTTTTACTCTTGTCTTTTTGTCCGCCCGCATATAGCCTTGCTCCTTCTCGACTATGGTGCCGATATCCAAATGGCGGATTTTCAAGGGGGAAACGCGCTCAGCCGGGCGTGTGCCGCTGGCAGGACGGACGTGGTCGTAAGCTTACATCAATGGGTGCACAAAAACGACGCTGACGCCGAGATGAATCTCTTGCGGTGGGCAGCCGAGGAGTCAGACCAAGCAGGGGTGTGGGAAATTTTATTGGGGCAAGGCCTTGTCGACGTGGACCGAATCATCGAGGAATCGAACCGACACACGGCTCTGCACACAGCTGCTATGCACGACAACCTCCTCCTTGTCGAAATTTTGCTTGCCCACGGGGCTGATTTGACCCTAACCGACGTCAATCAGAACACCCCGTTGCACCTCTCTCTGTTGGAACGGAACCAGGACGTGAGTCGTATCCTGATTCGGGCCGGCGCCTTCTTGGACGTGCCCAACCGATCGAACAAGATTCCGTTGGATCTGTGCGCAGAGACGATGACGCTCTCAGGTAAAGAGCAGAGGTCGGGGAAGGAAGGAAATGGTCGTAGGAGGGAATGGGGGGAAGAGAAGCAAGAGAATTGGCATGGATTCGATGGCCCGCCGGCACGTCGGCATTTTGGGCGCGAGGGCCCTGTCTGGAGATGGGCCGCCCACAATTTGGAAGTCGCGGTGGGCGTCCGTTGTCCGCGTTCAAGCCGCATGCCTGTCTTTGACGCTGGAAGGATAGTTTGCGCGTGCCCCTGCCTGTCGTTTGTCGCACAATCCCCCACCCAAAGATGCAACCCCAGACTGACACTGCTCCCCCTGCTCTTGCCCTCCTTGCCCCGTCAGAATTCACCGCCATCACGGAAGACCCCTGCCACGGCCTGGTTGCCTTAGTCTGTCCCTTTATCCTCCGCACGTCCATGCTTCAGAAACATCACGTGCTGGGCGAGGTGTTGGCAGGGAGCGTGAGCGAGGATTGCCCCGCAGAGCAGGCCCAGGACGTGGGGAAGGAGGGCGAGGGAGGGAGGAAGGGAGGGAGGGA